AAAAAAAAAAAAAAAAAAGAATTTCTGCCCCAGCTTTTCTGACAAAGGACTATCTCAGTTTTGAAATGAGGGGAGTCAATTCTCTAGTAAAGTCAAAACTGAAGGAGTCTGGGGACAGGTTCAGATAATCAGCTTCATCAGGACATACACAGTGGGACAAGCAGGTGCCACTAACCCCTTTCTTTGGAATTGACTTAACTCCATAGAACCCAAAGACTAGGAAGGAGTATAGAAAGCCTAATGAATCATAAGTTACATGGTTATTTTGAGTGTATTTAAGAATTGTCTGAACCTTTAATCTTCAATAGAATCTCTTAGTAGATAGGAAGATAAAGCCCTGGAATTGATGCTTCAGGGATTTGAAAGACTGAGTTTTTCCTTATCTTCTTTTTAGAAATAAAGGTTAATAGTTGTTTTTGTATGCGTGTGAGAGAGGCTTTTCTCCTTGCAAAAATGTGCTGGAGAAATTCATGTCCCTTTTTCAATGTGTTGCTAAGATGGTGTGTGGTTTAAGTGATGGGGGTTCCAGCTGCAGAGGACTATTTTGGGGAAGAGGGCACAGATGGCCTTGGAAAGAGTTGTATATTGGCAATTGAGATCACTGGCTGTGAGCTGGAGCTTCTCGGAGCATGAGAAGATAGAATACAAAGGTTTGTGATGATGGTGGAGATGGCTGCAGTGAGAGGTGTGCGTCCTTCTGCAGCACCTATAATAAAGAACAGTGATCGCCTGGGCCAGGGTGTTCTGAATACAGATCATTGGCTAAAGTGCAAAACTCTAATCTTGACAGCAACTTGCCTTTCAACACAGAATCTTGTCTTTTGCACCCCCGTTTAAATGGTTTCCCTGCGGGGTTTCTGTTGCTGCCGCTTTCTTTTGCTTTGTCCTTTTCATTTTGCCAGCTGGGGTCATCTTAGGATCCCCAGGATCTTGTCTCAGCTCTGCATCTGGGTCCTTTCTGGACATGGTGGGCTACTATCGACGTTCTCCCCAACAAGGAGGAGGAGGTCTCTCCAGAGTCATCTTCTGAGAGTGCGGGGGCACGTCCGTGGGGCCTGCCATCTCTCAGGACCTCTTTCATCCAAGTGATCGAGACCACTTCCTGTGCCCATGAGGCTTTCAATCAGTTGACATGATGACTCCTTTTCTCTTTCTTGTCTATCTGGGCACAGGACGTTGTCATCGAATGGACCGATTCTCCAGACTTCTCCGTATGGGCCTTGCCACTTTGCCAGGAGCTTGCTCTCGGTGTTGTGCGGAAGGAGGAGCGCCCTATCCACCTGCTGAAACTCTCGAGCATCTTTATTGAACTGTCTAGCCGGGGTCTACAGGCCCCGGGTCAGATTTCTGCCTGTAAATGACTCAACCAGGTCTAGTTGCTCCCACCTTTTGTAGACGCTGCCGTCTTGTTCTGTCACACCTCTCTTCTGATAGTCTTTGAGACCAAGGAGGCCTTTGGGTTTTCCTTTTTTGGTGGTGATTCACATGGGAGGACACTTCATATGGGCTGGAGGAATTTTCCTCCTTGTGTGAAGCAGGGAAGGCACAATTTATGCTTCTGTCTCTATCAGACAACATTAGAGATATTGATTTTAATCCTGTGTCTTGAAAACAGCATGTGTGATATTTACCTTGGCAAGGATCAGTTCAAATTTTTCACTGGAATCATAAAAACTCTAACTTTCAAACCTTAAAAAAAACAGGGAAATAAATCCCTGAGATTGCCATGTAATGATAATGTCTATGCCCCATAAAGACTGTTAACACTGGAGCTAAGGTTATGGGGGAACCTGGGTGCTACTGACTAGCAGTAGGCATTCTAGGCTAGAGGTGATTTCTTGGGCTGGCTATTCCCATTATATCTGACTGTTGAGTCTATTTTATCATAGCTGGTGCTCTGGCAACTTGTCTCTTGTTCACATTGGCATCATACAAGTTATATAGACTCTTAGAAAGTTAAGTTGAAACAAGCAAAAAACTTAGATAAGCACAGTAGATTGTCTAGTGAGAGTCTTTGTAATCAAAATTGAATGGTCTGTCCTGTTATCCAAAGGAACTATGCCCATTCGAAGTTCTTACAGAACGTATTTTAATCCAAGGCTGTCTTCCTGCTTCCCTTTTCTTGCTATGAGTCAATTTCCAGACTGCCTTTCCACTCTCAGTGGTGTGATGCCAGGAAAAGCCCATTTTTTTTTTCTTTTTTTTGAGACCCCCCACAGAGTGCCATAGTGTCACAGCTCACAGCGACCTCAGACCTTTGGGCTTAAGCCATCTTCTTGTCTCAGCTTCCCAAGTAGCTAGGCCTACCACTGCCTGCCACAACGCCCAACAGGTTTTAGAGACGGGGTCTCACTCCAGCACAGGCTGGTCTCAAAGTGAGCTCAAGTGATCAGCCTACCTTGGCCTTCCAGAGCCACTGTACCTGGCCAGCACATCCATTTTTAACACAATGCTTAAAGTAAAATGGAATGGGAAAACATAGTAATGAAGTTGTTATTGACAACATTTCTGTTTAGAACTAGGTGTTCAGGCCAGGCGTGGTGACTCAGCCCTGTAATCCTAGCACTCTGGGAGGCCAAGGCAGGTGGATTCCCTGAGCTCACAGGTTCAAAACCAACCTGAGCAAGATCAAGACCCCGTCTCTAAACATAGCCAGGCATTGTGGTGGGCTCCTGTAGTACCAGCTACTTAGGAGGCTGAGGCAAGAGGATCTCTTGAGCCCCAGAGTTTAAGGTTACTGTGAGCTCTGGCACTCTACTGAGGACAACAAAATAAGACTCTATCTCAAAAAGGAAAAATAGAATTAGGTGTTCTACTGGGAGTTCAGCAATATGTCCAGCAATGTTCTCTAAGATGAAAAGCTCAGAGACTAGCTGGCATAAGAATGTAGGCTACACACGTATAAAGCAATTAGCAACCCAAACTGTGTGTCTGCTCATGTGTGTACACATGCACAGCCCACGGCTAGGGGCACACTTTGTAAGACTTCAGAGAATGGGGAACCAGTTAGAAAAAGCATTCAAGGAAGGAATAGGACAGGATGTACAGAGGCTCTTGAGAGATGGGTAGGAGTTGATTACATGAAGGAAGATGAGAATATGATAAGGAAGACAAAGGCAAGAGAAATACTCTGGATATTTTAGATAACACATGGTTTCAAATTATCTGGGCTAAAATCAAAAGCTGACTGTTCTTACAAGACTGTAGGGTTGGGGCCGGGCACAGTGGCTCATGCCTGTAATCCTAACACTCTGGGAGGCTGAGGCAGGTAGATTACCTGAGCTCAGGAGTTTGAGACCAACCTGAGCAAAAACAACCTGTCTCTACTAAAAATGGAAAAACTGGCTGGGCGAGGTGGCTCAGATCTATAATCCTAGCACTCTGGGAGGCCAAGGCATGTGTACTTTCTGAGCTCACAGATTCGAGACCAGCCTGAGCCAGAGTGAGGCCTAGTCTCTAAAAATAGCCAGGCGTTGTGGTGGATGCCTGTAGTCCCAGCTATTTGGGAGGCTGAGGCAAGACAATTGCTTGAACCCAAGAGTTTGAGGTTGCTGTGAGCTATGATACTACAGCACTCTACTGAGGGCAACAAAATGAGATTCTATCTTAAAAAAAAAAAAAAAAAGACCATAGGGTTGGATTTTGTTGCTGGAATATTGCAATTAGTTTTGGAATAGCTGGAATTGTTAATTAGTTTTGCTGAATTTTCCAAAATTGTTGTCATCTTGGAATATTGTGAAAGCTCAGAGCCTTTGTGATTCAGCTCTGAGTGTTGAGGCTTGGGGGTAATAGTGGGAGAATGGCTTGGGTGGACCATCTGACATTCAGGTGGGACCGCTGACCCATGACCATGTTAAAGGTCTTGCTGCCTTTCAGTCTGATAGTTAGTGAAACATTGTAGGCTTCGGGATGGCTAACATGGGTACACTGGTGTCCATGTAGACTTTTACAGTCTTTATCTTACAGTGTTAAATCTTCGTTGGTATTAAAAGTCTTTATTATGCCCTTTAAGGAGTAATTTTGTTACTAGAAATTTCAAAATAATCTCTGACCTTCCAAGGAATTTAGAGTTGAAAACCCCAAAGATCTGAAGAGAGGATCTGTGGTGAGAAGTTAGACTATTTACCTTGATTGCAGAGAATTGGGAGTGAGGGGAATGAAGGGGTTGCAATTAAAAGGCACATAAGTTGTTTTCTCTCCTCATAGGAAATAGACTAAAAAAAATAGGAGAGGGCATTGCCTGTGGCTCAAAGGAGTAGGGCATCGGCCCCATATGCCAGAGGTGGCGGGTTCAAACCCAGCCCCGCCAAAAACTGCAATAAAGAAAATAGGAGAAATTTGGTGAGGCACAGTGGCTCACACCCGTAATCCCTAGCACTTTGTGAGGCTGAAATGGATAGACTGCTTGAGCTCAGGAGTTTGAGACCTGAAGGAAGAACAAAACTCTTTCTCTACTAAAAACAGAACAACTAGCTGGCATGGTGGTACCTGGAGTCCCAGCTACTTGGGAGGCTGAGGCTAGAGGATCACTGGAACCCAGAAGTTTGAGTTTGCTGTGAGCTATGATACCATGGCACTCTACCCAGGGCAACAGAATGAGACTGCATCTAAAAAGAAAAAGAATAGAAATAGGAGAAACTCAACTAAATGAGTATTATATTTAGTTTAAATTCAAGGATTAATTTACTAATAGATCACTAAAAATATAAATAGTTTAAAGAAAAGAAAACATAACGTTATCTGCTCGTTGCCATACGTAAGATAGATTTCTTTTGTGGAGTATATGTCACTGTGGTCTGAGTAGGTTCTAGGACACAAGGATTTTGATGCTAAAGTGGTCATGTGGGTACCTGGATTGGGAAAAGGGGACAGCTCTTGAAATTGATGTCTCTGGGCTTCCACTCTTAAATCATTGTTGGCCCAAGAGAATTCTCCTTGTGTATCATGATTCAGTTAATGTTTGTAAAAATACCTATACTCTGAAGTGGGGCAAAGAAGAAAGTGACCCCCGCGCCTGTAGCTCAGTGGGTAGGGCCCTGGCCCCATATACCAAAGTTGGCGGGTTCAAACCCAGCCCTGGAAAACTGCAACAAAAAAATAGCCAGGTGTTGTGGTGGGCACTTGTAGTTCCAGCTACTCAGGAGGCTGAAGCAAGAGACTCGCCTAAGCCTAGGAGTTGGAGGTTGCTGTGAGCTGTGATACCACAGCACTCTACCAAGGGCGACAAAGTGAGACTCTATCTCTACAAAATAAAAAGTGACCTCCAAGCTTAATTTTTAAGTGGCAAAAAAGCTTTTGAGGAAGTAACTGTCAGGTCCATTCTTGAAACACTCTAGAGAGCATTACATTATTGAGTACGCATAGATGCTTTGTTCTTAATGGCTTGGCAGCATTGCTCAGCGTCCTGAGGAAAAGAAAGGGGAAGTGAGTTAATACATGTGGTTTGGTAGTACTGGGGGGAAGGATCTCCCCTGGACATTGGTGCTCCAGACAGTGGCAGTGGTTGGCTGCCTGGAAACAAGATGTGCAGGAACAGCCACCAGGAGCAGACTCTTCGAGGAGTAGTGGTCTGAGAGCAAGGAGCATGGTGGGAAGCCAGGTAGCCATTGCCCCGGGGATCGTGGCCATGATTCTTGTAATGACTGCTTAAGTTATTTCTCATTGACCAAGGCTTCAGGCTGACTTTCTTATTTTTATGGTGTCTTTTTTTTAATACTGTTACATGCTTATAAAGATCACTAGAAATTTTCATTACATGCAGTGAACACCTGCAGACCTGGTATTGAGATAATATAATACAGAAGTAGATCGAATTTAATGAACTTGTAGATAGTAGTTGATTAGCCCTCTATGTTAAACTGTGGGTTATTTTAGCTTGTGTTGCTTAGCATTCAATGATTATTCATCCTCGAAGGTCAGAAGTCCTGTCTAGTGTTAAAATGTTTGTAATATGTTGGTTAGAATATCATCTTCCTATTTTGAATGTATGTTTATAGGAATAATTTTGTGCATTTATGATTTTGATATTTGCCTTCCAGGTGCCAGGATTGCTGAATATTCCCAACTGTACGACCAGATTGTATTCAGAGAGACTCCCCTTAAAATTCAGAAGGACGACTGGGCCAGCCCTCGAGAGTCCTCCCTCCTCAGGTCCTCGTCACCTTCCCAGGTCCAACAGCGTAGTGAGGATTGGCTCCTGCATTCAACCTATAGTAATGGAGAGTTGGCAGATTTCTGTCCCCAGCCAGAGCAAGACTTGAGGTCAAGATATCCCACTTTAGAGATGGGTACAAAAAGTACTCCCAGACAATTGTCCGCAGCATGCTCTGTGCCTTCCCTGCAAACCTCCGACCCTCTGCCGGGCTCCCTGCAGCGCTGCAGCGTGATAGTTAGTCAGCCCAACAAGGAGAACTTGTGTCAGGGCCATCTGTACAACTCCGTGGGCCGGAAAGGAACCAGTGCTAAGTATCAGCCCTATAACAGGTCCCAGTCGTCTTCCTCCATCTTGATAAACAAGTCGATGGACTCCATCAACTATCCTAGTGACCTGGAAAAGCAGCAGCTGCTGTCTCTCCAGCGAAGTTCAAGGTGTGAGAGTCACCAGAACTTGCTGCCGGGCCCTGCTGACTCACATCCACAGGGCTCTGACCAACTCTCTGATCTCACACTCCAAGACTCCCAGAAAGTTCTGGTAGTAAATAGAAGCTTGTCCTTAAATGCCCAAATAGCCACACAGAACTATTTTTCCAATTTCAAAGAGGCTGAAGGAGATGAAGATGACTATGTGGAAATAAAGTCGGAAGAAGATGAGTCCGAGCTGGAGCCGTCTCACGGCCGGAGAAGGAAATCTGACTTGAGGATGATGCACGCTGGCTATTCGGATAACGGCAGCGGCAACCCGTCTCACTCTGCAGACAGTCCGTGCACGCCCCCAAAGCCCATACACAGCAAACTGGAGCTTTCCCCGTATCTGACATCGTGTAACGATTCTGACAAACTGAGTGACTATCTTTGGAGGGGGCCGTCTCCCAATCAACAAAACATTGTACAGTCTCTAAGGGAAAAATTCCAGTGTCTCAGTTCCAGCAGCTTTGCTTAAGGTTTTAGTAAGCGCTGCCTGGATTCACTACTACTTCTTAAGGAACATTGCAGATACTGATGAGGTGTTTTGTATCTACCAGGTTGAAACAATTTTGTAATAACTAGAGGTGTAAAACGTACTTTCTTCGACAGCACAACATTTGAAATGGCTGGTGATACAGCTGGGATTGTACTGTAGCCAACGTCAGCATCTGACAGTGCGTTTTCTGATGCTGATTGTCTTCAAGTTTCCTGTAAACCCATCTTACTTGAAAATTTTTAGGCTTTTTTTTTTTAATGTGATGTCCATGATGGTTTTTTTTTTCTCATCTCCTGACACTAGTGCTTATAACTAGAAGAAATGCAGTAACCTCGTATTATCCAGAAGCCCCAACTAGTTTTATCCTGGGACTCCAAGGCAGCAAGGAAACTTTTTCACTTGTTTGGAAAGGAAAGGAAAGCTGTTCAAATAATTTTTGTTACCATTGAGGCAAGGCCTTTGAATAACTTAAGTCAGAGATCTCTAATGGAAGCTTTGCCCACAGTGCCCACACCAGAGTGTCCCTGCCAGTCGTCCCACATTTCATTCTCATGCAGAAATTGTGTGACTTTTGAAAATTAGAATGTAGCAGGACCAATTTTCAGTATTTTTTTTTTAAACAAAACCCTTTACCTGTCTTCCTGGACATGGCCTGGAGAATGCACTTCTCATCATGTTTGGTATATAATTTCTGGGGTGAAATGAATTATTTTCTTAATGGCTTAAAGAAAACCAAGGTCAATAAAATGCAAATTAACTCTTAGAAAAGATAAATTGAGTTCTGGGAACACATGTCTCTTCATATTCCAGTTGAAAGGAGGGGCAGGGAGACAAAAAATAAAACCAAAACCTCCTAGCCCTGTGTGTGCTTGCCTGTCATCAACACAAAATGGATCATAAGCTGAAATAAGACAAAGCACTTAAAGTTATCCTTTCCAGGGCAGGTTCTCACACGCACCACCATGAGTTTTGGACTTTACCAAATGGCCTACTCAATCCTAGCTCTGAGGCATCATTGGCTGCAGAAGGGGCAAGAATTATTTTCTAAACTATATGTAACCTGGGAGACGTTTTGAAAATTGTTTTGAGGCATATACAAGAACAGAACCTTTGGTTACTAGGTTCTGACTAATACTATTAATGTGATCATCATTATACAGGATTTCATTGTGATACTGTGTCCAACCCCTCGTGAAAGGAAATAAAACCAAGACATTGAGTAAAAAGCAAAATCAAAAAAGCCGAAGAGAAAAATGAAGGCCGATTTATTGCTACCCTGTAAAAAAGTCTACTAAGACCATGGTTAACACAGCGGGAATGTTTTCTCAACTAGTGGCCATTGTTTTCATTTAGTAATTGTACATTCTGTGGCCCGTCCCCATCCTCTTGGTTTCCATTTTAAAAGATATTAGGTGTAGGGAAAGGGGTCAGGGTTTCTCATTTAAAAGTGAGTAATAATACTGAATAATTGTGATATCATGATTCTTTTCCTCTTTTCAAGTCCTATGCCACTTAACTGTAAAGCATAAAATGTGATGTTCTTATCTTACAAATAGGTACTTAACACGTTTCTTTTGAAATTTAAAAAACTCAAGTTTATTTCTCCACGCTATTCTTACAGCTTATAAAACAAAGTCTGTTTTGAATAACATGGTTCTGGAACATTCCTTCTTTCATTGCCTTCGTTTTAAGATAAAGACATATCCGAAAAGATAAGCATCATAAGAAAGTATGTTCTTAGACGTGCTAGAGGTATGTTGAAGTGCATTTGTATTACCTATTAAAAAATGTTACCTGAATCTTGTCCCAGGAATGCAGTTTCCCATTTTTGCTTCTACATTGGTGTAACCCAAATTCTAATAACCCATAATAGACACTGTTTCAGAAATTATTCTTCACACCGGTGTCTTGTACAACTTGGATGTCACCAACAGGAATAGACCCTCACTGCACAAAGGTAGATGTCTTACTGTCTAAAATGTCTATGTTCTTAGGGTCTAGGACAAATCTGTAGTTTTACAGATCACTTCTGTTGGCCAGGACACAGATTTTGAGAGCTATGTATATATATAATCACGTTTGTATCTTTTCCTCCGTTATCAAATAATGGCTTTTGTTTAAAAGTAGTTTCTTCTGGAGGTGGGGTGGGGATGTATATTACGGGGAAGGCAAGTTATATGGACTTAAAAGTATGTCAAGTTCATTCTTTTTAGTTTCCTGTACTGAAGGTTCTTTTTTTTAAGTTCACTTTTCACCTGTTTTATTCTTTATGGGGAAAAAAGTGCATCTAGGAAAACATAGTTCAAAGACTGTATATAAGATAATAAAGGTAATTCTCATTATTTAATAAAGTTTGTAAAGTACAAAGTAAATTACGGTGTGAAATAATGTTCTGGTACATCAATATTTTTCAAACTACATTAAGCTATAATATTTTGCCTTAACATACCATGTTTTAGTAGCCCATGACTTCTGTATCTTTGGGTCTGGGATGGGTTTTTTTGGTTGGTTGATTGTTTGAGACAGTCTCAAGCTGTCACCCTGGGTAGAGTGCCATGGTGTCACAGCTCACAGCAACCTCAAACTCTTGGGCTCAAGCTATTTTCTTGCCTCAGCCTCCCAAGTAACTGGGACTACAGGTGCCCGCCACAACACCCAGCTACTTTTTTGTTGTTGTTGCAGTTGTCATTGTTTTATTTTTAGCTGGCCCAAGCCAGGTTCAAACCCGCCAGCCTCAGTGTATGTGGTTGGTGCCCTACCCACTGAACTATGGGCACTGTCCTCTGGGATAGTTTTTGTTTTCTTGATAGGCCGTTAAATTAGATCAATCTTTTTTTTTTTTTTTTTGCAAGACAGAATCTCACTTTGTCATCCTTGGTAGAGTGCAACCTCAAACTCTTGGGCTCAAGTGATCCTCTTGTCTCAGCCTCCCAAATAGCTGGTACTGCAGGCACCCACCACAATGCCTGGCTATTACATTTTAGAGATAGAGTCTCTCTCTAGCTTAGGCTGATCTAGAACTCCTGAGCTCAAGCAATCCATCTGCCTCCCAGAGTGCTAGGATTATAGGTGTGAGCCACTGTGTGCCTGGTCTAACTTTTAAAAAAAATTGTGATAAGTATGTAACAGAAGAAATCCTTTTAACTATGTCATTACTGAGTTGAAAAATTAATGTAGAAGTTTCTTGACACAAATTAGTTTTTTTTTTTTTCATTTAACTTCATTCTGAATTTCTTTGATAGGCAAAAATTTTTACAGGGAACAAATGCATGATAATATAAATTGATCAGGGACATTTTCTAAAGCAATTCTCTTTCCAAGTATAAGCATAAAGCCCTACCCTATAATGAAAGTACAGTTGCCTACCTTGCCTCACACAGAGGAAACAGCTTTTAAATTTTTCTTTAGAATTTTTTAGAGTGAAGAGTGTCTAACTTCATATTGAGGAGCCCTAAGATCTGTTCTGCTGTAAGGCTGAAAGCGGAAGTGTTTGCAGTAAGTCGTAAGAGTTCAGGTTAGAGAAGCAGAAAATAGTGCAAAAACATGTGTAAGTTCTATGCATAAATTAAATCCTTAGGGGAAAGGAAAATCTTAAGGTTTGTGATACAGCTGTTGAACAAAATATTCATATTTAATAAAATTTGTCTTTTGATGTGAAAAAAATTTAAAATCTCAGCCAGGCATGGTGGCTCATGCCAATAATCCTAGCACCCTGGGAGGCCGAAGCAGATGGATTGCTTGAACTCGGCATTTCGAGGCCAGCCTGAGCAAGAGCGAGACCCCATCTCTATTAAAAATTGAAAAACTAGCCAGGCATTATGGTGAGTGCCGTAGTCCCAGATACTTGAGAGGCTGAGGCAAGAGGATTGCTCAAGCCCAAAAGTTTGAGGTTACTTTGAGCTATGACTCCATGGCACTCTACTTAAGGCAATGTCTCAAAAAGAAAAACAAAATCTATTTTAAAAGGCAAATGTTCACAATATGTTAAGAGTTCTGACATCTAATGCTATATAACTTTTTCTATCTGGATAGTAGTAACTATACTCAATTCTATGACTCAAAAAGTGATTACAATAAAAGAAACTGGCTCAGCACCCATTGCTCAGTGGGTAGGGCACCAGCCACTTACACTGGGTCTGGCAGGTTCAAACCCAGCCCAGGCCAGCTAAACAACAACAACTGCAACAAAAAATAGTCAGGCGTTGTGGCGATAGCCTGTAGTCCCAGCTACTTGGGAGGCTGAGGCAAGAGAATCTCTTAGGCCCAAGAGTTGGAGGTTGCTGTGAGCTGTGATGCCACGGCACTCTACTGAGGGCAACATAGTAAGACTCTGTCTCAAAAAATAAACCACTTCAACTTTTTAAAACTTTTTAACCAATTTATGTGCATATATTATCTATTGATATGTCTCTTCAACTTAAACCTTGTCCTAGAGATAAGGTCTGGAGCTTTCTACTATAAGGTTTTTCAGTGCTTTTTTCTGAATATATACATAAAGACATAAGCATTCTCTCACATTTGGTTTCTCACATTTTTTCTTTAAAAGTAGTGGGTGGCTCATGCCTGTGATCCCAGCATTTTGGGAGTCAAACATGGGTGGATAGCTTGAACTCATGAGTTCAAGACCAGCCTGAGCAAAAGTGAGACCTCCCCCTCATCTCTAATAGAAAATAGAAAAAACTAAGGCAAGAAGATCACTTGAACCCAAGAGTTGGAGGTTTCTATGAGCTATGATGCCATAGCACCCTACCCAGGAGGATAGCTAGAGACTCTGTCTCAAAAAAAATTTTTTTTCATATATTGAGGCCAGGTTCAGGGGCTCACACCTGTAATTCCAGCACTCTGGGAGGCCAAGACAGGTGGATTGCCTGAGCTAGAGCGAGACCCCACCTCTAAAAATAGCTGGGCATTGTGGAAGGCGCCTGTAATCCCAGCTACTCTGGAGACTGGGTGGAGAGAATCACTTGAGCCCAAGGAGTCTGAGGTTGTTGTAAGCTATGACACCGTGGCACCCTACTAGGGGTGACAAAGTGAGATTCTGCCTCAAAAAATAATA